TCTTTTTCTTAAAAATGATAATATAAAATTTTATAATTTTTCTTACTTTTTTTTTAAGATTTATTAGAAAATAATGATAACATAACAAATGATAATCTTAATCAAAAGAGGATAATATTTATGTATTTAAATTAGAAAAGTGAAAATTTACTATTGTATACTTCAAGAATAAAAGAAATTTTAGATAATCTCATGTAGTTTACTAGCATATTTAGTAAATGTTAGGTTTTTTTAAAAAAAATTTAAAAATTCAAAAAAATTTAAAAAGGAAAATTTACTATTTAATTTAAAAATTCAAAAAATTTATATCTTTGAATAAAAAAATTGATAAAGTCATATTTTTATCTAAATCTTTTCTAATCAATTAAGAATTCATAAAAAACCAATGTGTTGAAGATGCAAAAAATTTCATTTAATATCAAACAGAATACAAAAAGAGTGAAACTGTGGCAAAGAACTTTTATTCTCTTTGATCTTGAATGAAATTATTTGCATCTTCTACACACTGGTTTTTCGTAAATTCTCAATTGATTATAAAATATTTAGATAAAAATATGACTTTATCAATTTTTTTATTCAAAAATATAAATTTTTTGAAATTTTAAATTAAATAGTAAATTTTCCCTTTTTAATTTTTTTGAATTTTTAAATTTAGAAAAAAAAAAACAACCCCTGTTGAATATGCCAATAAATTATATATCTCAGTGTTTCATTAAATTACTTAAAATTTCCTTGATTCTTGAAGCATATTATAGTAAATTTTCACTTTTTTAATTTAAATACATAAATATTATCTTATTTTGATTAAAATTGTCATTTTTTACAATATCATCATTCTCTAATAAATCTTCAAAAAAAAGTAAGAAAAATTGTAAAATTTTATATTATCATTTTTTTTAAGAAAAAGAAGAAATTTACCGTTTAATTTAAAAATCTAAAAAATTTATATTTTTAAATAGATTAATAACAAAGTTTTCATCTTTATTTATCTATTATCTTTTCAAATTATGAGATTTTCATATTTTATTATTTAAAAATTATCAATTGTAAATTCCATAATTGCCTCATGTAGGATCCACGTTGGGTTGGGGAGGCAGTAGGAAGTTAGGCTAAGGCAAAAAAATTTGTGTGAGAGATGATGTGATAAAGGTGGGGCCCACAAGAAAGGGTGGCAAAAAAAAATGATAACTGGCGTGACCGTTGCATTTAACGGTTAATAAACAGCACCGTTAGTTACAGTGGACAGAGGGACGACATTGAGGTGTTTTTGTATTGTAGAGGGATGACAAGTGGAGTTAATTAATAGTAGAGGGACGACATGAAGCCAATCCATAGTAGAAGGTTTAGAATGCACTATTTTTGATAGTAAAGGGACGATAGATGGCCTTAACCCCTCGAATTTAGGTTGTTAGCGCTTGTCCACAAATGGTTAAATACCTTTTAGTCCCTCAGCTTTTATATTTATACTAAAATTATCCTTCAACTTTTTAAAACACTAAAATTTTC